TTCCAGATGACGAAAAAAGACGTCGACATAGTCCTCTCGAGGTTTTACCAAAGCATTCTTAAACGCGCTCTTTAATATAGTAGTATAATCTTGGTCAAATTCTTTCACCTCGACTCCACCACGCAACTGGGTTACTGGTGAGAGGTAGACGCAATAGAAGAGATAGACGAAAACCGGTATAGGTTTAGAGTTGAGTGAATAAATAACCAACAAAATAGCATGAAAGAACACCAAACGTAATGAGCATTTCCTGTTGTATTCAAACTATCCTCCCAATAAACATGCATTGATTGTTTGCTTACCATGCTTTGACTCATAGTACTTTTGGGTTATTTCGGGCCCGTCAGCTTCAGAGTGGTCTCTCATGTATTGAGCAGAAAAATTAGTAATTTCCGTAACCATTTCCATTATTTCGTGTTGTTGGTTCATGTTGTCAGATTATGAGAAAGAAAGAAACATGTGTATTTATATCTTATTTATGTTCTCCTGAAACATGGGAAATACATGTACATGTAATACGATTAACATGCAAATCATCTTTTGCTGATCAAATTATAATGCGTCATCAATATGCAATATGTAAATCGGTTTAATATTTTTGATGGTGCATTGCGTCATCAGCTACATGTATTTAGATTTTTTTAAAAACCATCAAGGATAACTTTGTAAAAACTTTCGGCGGAGCCATGAAAACACTATGAGAAGTTGCGGAAGAATCTATATATCATTTGCGTATAATAATTACGATGTTGTCTTTATAGTTTTCTTTTTAAAATATGTATACATCAACATGGACCTATCCTTTAATGAACCAATTATATCACCATTTTCGTCATTAGACATAATTATTGATCCAAATATTTCTGTGTCTATATCACCTGATCGTTATGATAAAGGAGGAGCAATTAATGAAACGACTTAAACGAAAAAGAGATTCAATTGATATAGTTCTTAAAAAAGATGAAGATGTTATACAAGAGGGATTATTATTACGTCCAGAAGGTATAAATTTGTCACCACATGATGCATAAGCCTTAATAGTAGATTACAGTCAAGTTCAAAGTACTGTTTACAATCTGAATCGTACAATTAATCGATTGAAAGCAAAAATCAAAGAGTTAGAAAGTCAAATTAATAAAGAACCCTCAATGGATTATAATGAGAGTCAAGAAGCAATTCAAAAAATAATAGAAAAGACAATTAATGAACACAAATTAGGATCTACTATTCTTGTTGGAACAGAAAATTATCTTTCATTACTATTAGTTAAACCCTTGTATCAATTGCAATGATATACAAATGTGCAACCGTAATTTTAATGTTTCAGCTATTGGATATGGATTAACATGTACTATTGATTGTAAAACATGCGGTACTATTACGACACACAATAATCAACCAACAGGAGTAAATTTTTCGCATTGTATTGCGGGATCAACTTTAGCTACTGGTCTCAATCGTCAGGCATTTTCAACAGCTTTGATGATTCTTGGAATTACACATCAAAGTTGCAAGCGTTCCTATCACCATTACCAATCACAAATGTTTGATTCTATTATTGAAAAAGCACAAATAGTGCACAAATAACATTGACTAATGCATTAGATTATCTTGAAAATAATCGAAAAGAAAAAATTATTCCAATTGGTTTTGATTGTAGTTGGTCTCATGTTAGAAATGCAAATCAAGCAAGTGGTGAATTTTTATGTCTTGAAGATATTCCTGGTATTTTAGTATAATCTTATATTTTTTTTAATTAAAAATATTTATTAATTCAAGTTTTTTATACAATATAGGATATTCACATAAGCCAGTTATTGCATTTCATGTTACTGAAAAGTCACGTACAATTACTAATAATGATACTACTATAGTAGTTCATCAAGGAAATTTCAACAAAAGTTCACGATTAATGGAACATGCAATTTTAATTGCAATTTTGGATGAAATAACTCCAATATTAATTGAACGGGATTTTCTTATAAATATATGCGTTGATGGTGATTTAGAAACAAATAAAACTTTAGTATTAGCAAATGTTGCTATTATTGTTATTACATGTAATCAAATCCATGCTGATCTGAAGCATTGTACAAAAAATATTAGAAAAATCTCCGTAAGTATTAGTGTTAGATATAATTTATATTACGTATTAATTAACATAAAAATTATTTCTCAAAATAGGACACAAGAAATATATAAAATTTCATGATTATGAGCAACATACATGTATTATGAGATATTTTTCACGATCTGTATATACAGCTGGTTTGAGAAAAGATAATCCAAATCCAAATTTTGAAACACCATCAGAAGCTCAGCTACGAGAGATTCAAATAGAAGGTTAATCAAACATTTACAACGATTAATTTATTCACGAGTTTAAAGAAATGATTAAAACAATTTTTCATCTTCTAATTCGACAAGGATTAGTAACAAAATATTCGATTTTCATATAATGAAGCATTTAATCGAAAAATTCTACAGTATATGGACAAAAGAATTGATTTTTGGGCATCTTATCGTGCACGACATGCTTTATCAGTTATAGATAATAATGAAGGGCTTGAAGTATTACTTGATATTCGTTCAATTTGTACAAATATACTATTTTCAAAAGTAGATTTAGATAATATTTCAAATCTGGTATTAGATCATGATAAGCAAGGAAATCGCAATAGAGAAGCCATTTATAACAGAAATTAAAAATTTCATGAACAATTTGCACAAGATCAAAAAGAATTACAAGGATTTGATTTTAGTCAAGTAATTTATTTAATTATTGAATAATTATATTAATAATTATATATTTAATAAACTAATAATTATTATTTAAATAGGAACTAATTCATATAAATCCAAAGGAGAGAAACGTTTTCAAATTGATGGATTTTATCCATCTTTTGCTTCACTGATTTTTGACTTTGAAGTATTAATCAAATGTCAAGGTTGTGGCATTTTTGGTAAAAAATCAACACTCGGTCTTTGTGGACTTTGTAATTTTTATATTCAAATGGGTTTTTGTAATCGAATACCAAAAAAATCTTATAAAATACCAATTGAACTATCTTCACAAATATCTATTAATGAAGGAATTGATTTGGTATTAAAAATAGTTTTTGGTTTTGATCAATTTCGAGAAAAACAACGTGAGGCAATTCAAGCATTTCTTCAAGATCAGGATACATTTGTTATTACAAAAACAGGAAGTGGAAGTGGAAAAAGCTTATGTTATTGGATACCAGCTTTGCTATTCGAAGGATTAACAATAGTTTTTAGTCCATTAAAAGCTCTTATTGAAGATCAAAAGGTATTTATTTATTTAATTTATAAATTTTAGAATATTTTATATTTATTTATTTATTATTTTATTTTATAGTATGAACTTGTTAATTATAGAATTCCTGCTGCTGCATTTTATGCTAGTAGTATACAATCAACAAATGACCAAGAAAAAATATTTCAAGAAATAGCTTGTGGATATTTAAAAATATTATTTGTAACTCCGGAAAAAATGTATTATAATGGAAAATTCAAAAAATTTTTGGATAATATGGCTGCAATAAAAAAATTATGATTTGTTATAGATGAAACACATTGTGTTTTGGATTATATAAAACTTTTAATTTTAGATTTTATATAATATAATTTGAATTAATTATTCTAATTAATAGAGAAGCATGGGAAAATCTGAATTTGTTGAAGCAAAGATGGAATAATATACCAATTATGTTACTTACAGCAACATATTCATAGAATGATATTGAAATAATTCGATCAAAACTAAATATACTGAGAATAATTTTACAATAATACGAGGAACTTCTTTTCAACGTGATGAATTAGTCTTTTAAATTAAAAAAAAAGAAAGGAAAACAAACAAATTTTTGGAAAGAATTGCAAATTATATTAATAAAATAGGTAATGAACATTATATTATATACTGTGCAACAAAAAATAAGTGTGAAGAATTGCTAGTTGGATTGGAAAATTTGGTTAAAAATTCTATTGAATTATATCATAGAGGTTTAAATGACAATACTCGACAACAGATTCTTAAATCATGAAAATTAGGTGTTATTAATATAATAATTGGAACTTCAGCTTTTGGAATGGGAATTAATTATACAAATATTTGATGTATTATTTTTGTTAATGCTCTAATAAATATGAGTAAGTATTCAATATTATATTTTTATTATATTTAATTAAGATATTATTCTCAAATTATTTTAGCTTATCTTATATAGGAATCAGATCATGCTGGTCAAGATGAAACTTTGATAAAAGTAATTCTATATTATTCAGGCAAAGATATTAAAACTAATTTTCAAATAATTACTAAAAATAGAGAAACATGAGTATTATAATATTAAGTATAATAAATTTATTAAATATTAATATATATTTTTTATATTTTAGAAATATATTATCAAATGATAATTCTTTAATAATAATAACTAGACAAAAATGACTTGAAAAGAAGCTTATTAAATATTCGAAGTACTTTATTTTTGTCAAAATCTATTTTGTTGTAAAATATCTTTAATTATGACTTATCATGCATGATCACAAGATAATATATCAATATAATGTAAAATATGTGATATTTGTCAAAATTATAATGAAAAGAAACATGAAGTGAATATTTATGAAGATATTGAATATATGTTATAAATAATACAAGTTTTAACAGCTCAAGATAATGATCAAATAATTCCTGATGATATAGTAGATATTTTTTGTCAAGCAAAAAATGCTAAGATTTATGCAAAAAAATATAATAAATTATTAATTTATCATATTTTTAAGTCTAAATATTTAAAAATAAAAAAATTAGCATTATTTGCTTTAACAGATTTAATAGTTTGTAAGTTAGTATAACATGATATTATTCTTCAAAAAATTACATCTATAACTATAATAATAATATATAATGTTTATATTATTGGAATTACAATTAATATATTAGAAAAAGCAAAAAATCAAAATTGGATATATCAGCTAAAAAATTAAGTTTAATAATATATATAATAATAAATAAAAAATATATTTATACTTTATAAATATTTAATACAGTTTAACCAGTTTTTTTATTAAATTTTATTTAATTATATAAAAAATTTAAAAAATTATTTTGAAAGTGTTTTTGAGTAAGATAGTATATTTTTAAAATATAGTACTTGGTATACTTTCTTTCTATATTAATATAAGTTTAAATATATTTTAATTTCTAAAAATTTGTAATGTTTTCAACTAAAAAATCTAAAATTATAATAATTCAATAAATATTGTTCTGATTAAAATGAGATTATTATCAAAATATCAATCTTATTGAAATGAATATAATATGATCAAGTTTGCAAAAATTTGATTATTAATTATCGAGAAAATAAGTTTTAAAAATTTAAAAAATATATAATCAAAAA